AGCAGCTCCCGACGGGACCTTGAGGGAATTGCCAGACTGGGAGTTCGAACTGAAGGCGTTGACTTGTGCTAGGCGGTCCATGTAGCTTCGACGCTCTTGAATCTTATTGTGAACGTTGGACAAAAGATCTGATTCGTTGCTCCATTCTAGTTCCTCATCGAAGGCCTTAATGGTTGGTACACGACGTTTCTGTCGGGAGGGGTGATGCGGCAGACAGGAGGCCACTTGGTGCTGCTCCCCTGGAAGTACTCCATTGAAGAGATCATCTAGACTGGTCGGGAGAGTATTTTGCTGAACACAAACACAAATACACTTTCTATATATAAACACAGTTGAGGGTCTTATACTAGCTCTATCGAACGCCACCGATGATCGCGACTACGTTATCGCACGAGCGCTCTTTCACTAAGGGCCAGCGAACTATTCTACAGCTAGTGCATGAATAACGACGATGTGAAATCTCGAATTACTCGACTTACTCTCTTGAAGCCCATCTCATTGGCCGCAAAGTCCTCCCCTCTGTTGGTGACCTTAATCGTCCAATCATAGGTATAAGGTTCTATCATAGCATCATCGTTTAAGACCACGACCTCAATCACGACATCATCTAGTAATTTATGAGCCCTCAGCAATTTCCTCAAATTACTCTTGGCAGTTTCTGTTGCCTCATCGTCCGCGTGCTCCATGACCAGCAAGACCCTAACCTGGCATCCTCTCCACACTTTATGCTGTTTGAGGAAGTGAGCACATAGTAGTAGGAAGCCTCCATCATGGATCATCCACCATACATCTATCGTGCCGTTCATAGGTATGGCCCTTTCCCCCACAGGCATAAACGATATGTTCTTAACACACATGATCGCCTTCCCTGTGTTGGTGGCAAACTGTAGTAGCCGTACGAACTCATATGCAGCATCAGGATGGCCCTGCCAGTCCGAGGGCCAGGACAAGAGGACCGAGTTGGGCCGTAGACCTCCAATTCCAGCCAATTGCACTGCATACGATGCACCCTCCCCAAATGATGGTGCTACAACGACATCTGCAAAGCCCTGTAAAGACTCCTTAGCCATCACTTCGGCAACCCGTTTCCTCTCAGCCGCGACCTGAGATGAACGCTAAGGGACTAGATTCACTGTACTGTATTACCCTCTTATCGTCGCCATCTACGACTATGGCCGAGGCTATACACATACCGCGGCCCTTCCTCATTTGACCATAGAAACGAAGCAGATCATGACAGCGCGCCCCC